CATGCAGTGGCTTTGGCCTTGTCAAAAGTCATGCTAATAAGTAGTAGCACCAAAATAAATTTGTAACACCAAATATATTTAAATTGAACTAGGGCAAATGGTCATTTTTTCTCGAACGATGCGAAATGAAATAAATTTGTCATTTATTAATAATTGAGGATATATTTATCTTTTGTGTTAGTTAAATAACTTAAATTTGCCACTATTTTCAAACAGCAGAACCTTAGCACTCGATAATGTCATGTATTCCGTAGTTAACATAAGTTAAATCCGTTCCATTTCACAAACTTTAGGGGCAATTTGGTCATTTTCCTATTGAACTAATATATTTATTTTTTTCCTAAAGTTAATCATGATGGGAGTGAGTTTTTTTAAAAAAAGTGAGTAGTAAGATGAATCTTTCAAATCAAAAGCAAAAATCCAAAACTCTTAAAAATACACAAAGCAACACACAATTTGTTTGGTTTCATCACCATATAATATAATCATTAAATTATATCGACCCCTGTGCGTTTTGTAGGCATATCTGCCGTCTGCTGCCCAAAGTGGCTTGGATTTTGTGTTGTCTTGCCTTTTTCCTAGACCTTTAAATATTTCGTGAAGTCCTTTATAAAAAGCACTCACTCAAATTACTTCATAATGATTTTTTTCTTTCGATTATTTATCATGAGATATGCGGAGTCTAGTGATAACAAGTGAAGTAAAGTAAAGGGAAGAGCTACAAACTAAGGTGTAGGTGAGAGTCCCTTCATTTGGTCCATATTATTTGTCGTTTTGGAAAATTAAATTCGTTCCTAAGTATTTGAATTGTTCGAAAAACTTTATTGACTCTTCAGAATTCACCATACTTCTCCAATTAATATTGTTATAATAAAGACGTATAATATGAATCGAATGTAATATTGCTTAATTTCTTTCTCTTCTAGTAGTAACACTTGCGTTGATTTAGGACACATGAGTCGCCTTGTTAACGTCACATTTTCTTTGTGAAAATTTGTAGGAATATATATATATCCAAGTCCAAGAAATGAAATTGTTCTGCCTGGCTCCCTGGATGCCAACTAAGAACAGCATTGTCAAAAAAAATTGACACTCTTCCTAGTTGGTACCAGAGGAGACAGGCAGATCCATCAATACCAATTGGCAACACCAAAAAAATAGGTTTGCTTAAATCTCCCTTTTCTTTTGTATATAAGTAATTGTTTTGCTATTTTTGACTAGTAATTATCGTAACGATTTAAGTTATATACGTTGACACTATAAAAGCAATCTACCTGAATATATATAGTAAATAGTTACTCTACATTTTAAGTTATTGTATCAGACTTGCTATGAAGAGTTACACGTTATTGTAGGTTAATTTATTTATATAGTAACATGGATAAATTCAAACTCAACAACTTCAAATTCAAACTCATATATGTTATCTCATGTATTCAGATTAGCAAATTAGAAATAATAAAAGATGAAAAGAACTATCCGAATCCACAGAACCCACTGTGTGTCCTTAAGAAATTTAATTCCTTCAAGTACCCGAGGTTGTAGATTAATTCCTCCCAAGATAAAACGGATTAACCATTAAAGAAATAGCGGTACCTCAAACTTCGATAATTTCAACAAACTCAAAAAGACAGCAACGAGATCACACACAGACACGATCGATCAATTTTGTTTTGTAAGAAATATATGCAGAAGAAGGAAAGAATTCAAGGCAGAAAAATGAGAGAAAATCTCTCTATTTATAGCCAACAAAGGGTAAAGGTCACAACTCTTTGGAAAAAAGACAACATTTCAGAAAGGTCACAACCCTTTGGAAAAGGCACAACCTTTCAAACGGTCACAACCCTTTAGAAGAGACACAACCTTTCATAAAGGTCACAACCCTTCAACAAAGTCACAACCCTTCAGGAGAATCACAACCCTTCATTTCCTATTCACTCCTTTAAAACCCAACAATATATTACTTCATGAATTGTGACAATAAATCGACACTACTTTCATAAAATTGAGCAACCACCTTGATATGATTCTGTAACTTCATAAAATGGATATTGAGGTACAACATGATATGGATAATAATTATTAGATGGCCATTGCATCATTGGAACTAATTCTATTTTTGGATCATCTTTTTTGTCACCATCTTTCTTGTCAATAGGGCCAACACTTAACAACTCTGCTCCTTTCTTCAATTTCTTCCTAAGCAATTTGGTTAGCACTGCTGCATCAATTTGCTCCCCCTCCACTTCTAATTGGTTATTTTCTCCCCCTTTCATAGCTGCTGAATTCACACCTAGAGGGACATAGAAAAATCAATAGGAGTTTGAAATATTTAGTGGCAGAGACGGACTCAGGATTTGGACACAATAGGTGCATCACTATCTTTAGTACATTAATTGAAGTAATTTGAGGGCCTAAGGGGCACGATGATTCGATGTCCAAATCCAACAGATATATTTGAAGGGTCCTTTTAAAATACATGATAGTAGTTCTTCAAGATATATACATACATATATAAAGTTTTTTTTTTTATTGAGGTTAACCTAATAGGATAGGTTCTGACTGACCTCATCATTTTCTAAACTGTATCACATAAAATGAAACGAAGGACCGAATGTATGCACCTAACTAATAAATATATGACATGTACCTTACATACCTGGCTGAGAAACAGCAATTTTGAAAGCCTTGGACCTTGATTTTTTATCATGACCATTTATGGATAACCTAATAACAACCTTTTGCTGCCCAAATTTTATAAGACCATACATTAGTAAATGAACCAATATAATTTTAAAAAAATATAGCCACTTTGCTAGTTAGATATCATTTTTCAATTAAAACTAGACTCAAATTAGTAAAAAAAAAAACACATTTAAAAAATATATAAATACCTTATTCATTCTCTAGGTTTGAAAAAGGGAATATAAATATTGATTTGAGGGTGAGATAATTTTAATTCTTGGAAAGAAAGAGGGTGTTTTTTTTTTTGTTTTTTTTTTTTTTTGAAATGCTTGAGAAATTGCCTTGAGGAAAATAGTTTATATTTTGAGGGTATTTATAGGGTGGAAATAGAAATATATTAATTTGCAAGTCGTAAATAACACGCATTAAAGATTAGGACAATGCAGTTGCAGTTATTAGAATTATCAGTGTGTTATGACTTATGAAGATGACATGTATTATAAAAGTCATTAAGGGTGGACTTGGGACGGAGGAAAATATATTCTGAAAAATGTTTTTCATAAAAAATATTCTTTTTAGAAAAATAAGTTTCATAAAAATTAGAAAAAACTTTCTGATAAAATGGACTTTGGGCCGCAACTCACATTCCAAAAGCTAGTTCAAAGGGGATGATTGTCCAAGCCATATAAGAAATCTAGAGATCTCATCGTCTGACGATCATTCTCATCACCCACCCCCACCCTTCCAACACCCGGACATTGTCCGAATTGGAGCATGTACAATCATGGATCGGGGCCTCGGGGATATATCATCACCCTCTCTCCCTGCATAGTCCGAGGCCCCACATTGATCATATATATGGATTTGATTTTGATACCACATTAAAACGTGAATCATGGGTCTAACTCACACCCTAAAAACTTAGCTCAAAAGAAGAAAAATCCCCCTAGCTATATAACGAGTCCAAGAATCTCGTCCCGGTCCAATTATGTGGGATCATTCTCACTTCCCTAATAGAATAAGAAAAATAAGAACTTTTGAGATAATATTATCTTTTGCTTGCTTATAAACAACGATAAATAGGTAAGAAACTCACTTATTTTTTCAGGAAAAACATTTTCTATCGTAACAAACATGCTTTAATAAGTATATCTTCATGAATTCACCAAGAGTCGTTGCATTACATATATAATGCATGTGGGCGTAAGGAAGAAGGTGAGATGGAAAACAAAATAACGTCTTCAACGGACCAAATTAATGACTTCACTTTTTTTCTTCAATAGGTTCAAAATTTCCAAAGTTTTGTCTTCAAAATTTCAATAACTAGAGCCATGTGAATTTTCGGGTTCAAATCGTGAAAACAATTACTAACACTTGAATTAGGTTAAACTGTCAATAACCCTCTACATCACACCTCTTGAATAAGGTACGACCCTTTCCCTTTCTCTTCACTGGACTAATCTGCTAATGTGAAATGTTTTATGCAGCGAATTATACTTTAGAATCATGTTAATTAGCAATCATGTCAAAACTCTGCTAATGTGAGATGTTTTATTCATGTTTGATTTTTATATACAAGAGGTATATTTGTAACTATGTCACTATATTTTATAACGATGTTGTATAATATAAGGTACCAAAGTATTAAATTTTAAAATATATAAAATGTATTTGTAACTGAGTTACAAGATACTCTCTCCCTTTCAATTTATGTGGCACCTCAGATTTAGAGATTCAACTAAGTCTATCTTCGACTGTAAATTTTTTATATATATCTTTTAAATATTTTAAATTGTTAATTATTGTGACTTATAATATTTTTTTTAATGCAATTTACAAATATATAAATTTAGTTTCAAGAAATTTAAAGATTTCATGCGCAACTGTTCGACTCTCAAAAAATAAATAATGTCATATAAATTGAGATGGAGGGAGTCAGGTACTCTTCCACTATTTCCATTCACTCATTCTAATTCTAAGTCAGTCAACTCTTGTTTTCTTCTATAGTATACTTTCCACAAATCTAATAAATGTATACTCTTCCTCATATGTAATTAAATGCTCCCTAAATACTTTTCTTTAGCTAAATTTAAGTAAAATTTACAAATTATTAATTTGTTACTCGGATATTAAATGAGCGGTCTAAATTGAATTTTAACTATAAAAATGAAATATTGAATTAGTTGATCAATTCACTAGACTAACATACAAGTCGTAATTCAATCCGTTCAATCTTTATTACATTTCAAATTATTTACTCATTTTCTAATAACTTGCTTAAGAACTTATAAAAAATGTTACATACCAAACCAAAAAAAATTGTTTTTTAAAGAATATTTTGACGATTTTTATTAATCCAATTTTTAAATGTGCTTATTGAACGAATCAAAATTGGTTAAGTTAATATATATAAATAGGTCAACACCACATGTTATTTGAACTGATTGAATAATTATATTTTTATAAACTAATTTTATCGTATCGGACATGTTATATTTCTTGGAAACCATTAGTTCTTGGAAAATTGTAACCAACAGTCAAAACACATGTCGAAGTTCTTCCAGATGAAATGCTGATGTTTATATCAATCAAGGTCTCACTTCTCATTTTTGTTTTTTTAGTGGAATATGATGCATCTAATTTCACCATTTAGGAAAAATTAAATATATGTAGAATAATAAATTAAATATTGTGGAGTAAATTAATTTCTAACATATGTTTTTATTTTCTTATCCCTTAGAGAATCCTATTGGGAGGCTGTATTTGTTATGGAATGTTAAGTTAATTAATTTTGATTGAACAAAATTAGATCGTTCATGTAGACCGATTCGACCCAATATAATATCCCTCCCAATTAGGAAAAGCTAATAGATTTTGAATTAATGATGAACTTTGAAATTACATATAATTTGTGCAACCGCTTCTTTTTCTTGTCAATTCCCCCTTTTCAAGTGGCTAAACTTTAAATATTTTGTAAACCTACACTTAACTTAAATAGTAGCCCAAATAGTGGCTACTTCCAACATCTTTTCAACCCAATTTGTTCTCCTAAAATAGATAGTCTTTGGGTCTTGAGGCCCGGCCCAGTTCACTTTATATTGGTTGAAATAGGAAAATTTGGTAGCCCATAAAATCCATTCTATAAATTTGAATAAAGAATAAGGATCGTTCGGTAGAAGGTATTAGAAAAAATAATACATTTATTAGTTATGATAATATTTATTCTTTATTTGGTACATTTTAAAAATATTTGGTATTATCATAAGTATAACTAACATTCTCTCGGTTTCAATTTGTTTAATCTACTTTTTTTTTGTAGTCCGTGTTAAAAATATTTTTAGCAACTCTTTAATTTCAACTTTTCACATAACATGTTTAATACCACAAGATTAAAGAATATATTGGTATGTTTGACATATCTTTAATTTAAGACCACAAGACTCAACCGTCCTTTTTTTAAAAACTTCATGTTAAGTCAAACACATGCTAAAAACAAATTAAAATTGACGGAGTAGTTAGCAAACCATAGTATTAAATATCAATGTTATAATACATGTATTAGCATGATTAAAAATGCAATTACCTCTAAAAGTGTATAAAGTTAAAGAATATTAAAAATATTTTATACCATACATTATTTTTGATATACCAAACTAAACAGTAACTAATGTTTTGATTAATTGTCGCATGTTCAATCTCTTGAGATATCATCTATGTTGCTTGAACTTTTCAATCTTATTGTCACACTCATGTCAATACATTTACTTTTAAAGTTTCTGATACATACCTATTAATATTTTTAAAAACTTCGAACAACCTAAGGTATCATCGCACCACAAAATTCAATATGTGGTTGGTAGGACTCAAGCGAGTCAATATGGGCTGCTGAACGGGTTAGATAATCAAACCATGAAGTCACATAAATGTTCGTTTAATATTCAAAGGCATATTAGCAATTTTTTATTTTGTATATTCGATCTAGGGATCTTACATAATTTTATTTGATATTTAAACAATATGTGATCGATTATAGTAGGGAAAATGCTATCAAACTTTGTGAAAAAGCTCATCTATGTTGTTCATTTAAAGTTTGACTCATTTATACCATTATTTGTTAACTAAAAAAAAGTTTCGGTTTAAGCAAAATCATTTTTTACATGTGATCAATTATCATTCAATCACGTCATTAATTAAATCATTTTTTAAAAGGAAAAGACTCAAATATGCCATCAGACTTTGAGAAAAAGGCTTATTGATGCAATCCCTTTAAAGTTTGACTCATTTATGCTATTTCAGTTAACAAATAATTGCATGAATGAGCCTTTTCTCAAACAAAAATGACATAGATGAGCCAAACTTTTAATGGATGACATAAATGAACATTTTCTGAAAGCTTGATGATATATTTACGTCTTTCTCCTTGATTTAAAATCACGAGATTCAGAATTTTTATTTATTTTCTTAAATTTTATTTTAAATTATTATAATACAAACAAATTAAAACGAAAGAACATATTTTTCAAAAAGTGTTTATTAAACACTTTCTGAAAAGAAAAAAAAAAGAGTTAAAAAAGGGGTAGTGGTAGGTAGGTAGGTAATTATGTTACCAAACACTAGGAAGGGAACTCAGCCAACAACCGTCCACAACTAGTCTACTATTAAAAACTCCATAGCCCTATGTTGCTCTTCTTTTTTATTATTGCATTACAAGTCACTTTCAACATCCTAATTTGATCTTGTAAGTGCAATCTCACCTTCTTCTTTTGTTTTGTTTTAAGTTGTGCGTATATTCTATCCTCTCCAGATTTCGCTCGTGGAATTATACTAAGCATTTGTATTTAAGATTCTCTTGATTGAAATTGTGTTTTCCTTATAAAGGTTCTTGTTTTGGGAATTTGATTAATCATGGCTCAAGAAACAGTAAATCTTGAACAAGAGGTTAGTTGAAATTTCAATTAAAGGGTATAAAGTTAAGTTCTTTACATGTTTCAATGAATTATCTTCTAGTGGATCTTGATTCTTGAATTCTTTTGATTGTTCATTTCAGGTTGTTTTGGTTGAAGAACTTGGAAATGTTAGAGTTGTTACCTTGAATAACCCAAAACAGTTGAATATCATTTCACCCAAAGTGGTATGTTGAAGAATTTGAATTCTTGAAATTATCTATTTCTAGTTACATCGGATTTAAGTTATATGCATCAATAGTGTAAAGATTTTGTGTGGACCTAGTGAAGAACCTATAGGGTTCAGTAACTTTAGCTTAGATCATGTAGTTGTGGTAAAATGTTGATTCTAAAACAAT